CAAGCTGAGAGACAGGTGCTGCCCACAGGGCAGCAATGGCATTTGGCTGTTTGGGTTTTGTACCAGCACTTCCCACACTGTGTATGGCAGACAACCACTTGCTGCTGGATTTAAACTGTTTTCCTGGCTGTCAAAACACGGACGATGGACCCTACTCCTCCAGCAGCCAGGGCCTGAAAAGACACACATGGCAGTTAACACCAGGTCAAGGCAGCTACAGGCCAGATCAGAAAGGCTTCCCAATTGTGTTTTAAATGAGCATCTCCCCCACCTTTACATTAAGAGTGAAACACTAGCACTCAGGGTGCCAAGGAAGAATAATCACAATCACTTTAAAGACAGCTATTTAACAAGCTTTTATTTCCCTACATAGCTAAGTTGCAAATCTGCTTCCCTCTAGGAAAGAAATCCTAGTTCCATCTGCTTGAATTACTGGACTGATCCATTTTGTTTGCCTCAGTCTGACAGAAAACCAAATTTTATTGGTAGTCTTTACCCAGGGCACCCTATCAGAAGTAGGCACATGTCATAACTCAGCTCTGAGCTTGCAGGAACATACCTTCCTCCCACCATGAAATACGGCATTGAGTCTCACCAGGCTCAGTGAGCGTGCCTCAGACCCAAGAACTTGCTACCACAGATAAACCAGGCAAGAGCACATGCTATAAACGCACCTTCTCATGCCACTGCAGCAGCACAGCGCTGCTGTTGTCAGAAGGGCTCTCGAAGCCTTTGTAGATGTACTTCATTAGCAGGTCAACGCCATTCTTGTCCAGTGACTGCACTGCCTTCTCAATATCGTTGGCTTTGAAAGAGATGAGGACCTTCAGGACAATACTTTCTGCACGATCCTGTCAACAAATAAGGAAAGCACAGTTGCATTCGTTCTCATATAAGGTACATACAAACAGTACTCATCTCTCAAACAGAACCATTTTTTTAATCAATTCTAAAATATGGTTTCATAAGGCAGTTTGTGAAGAGAGCTTATGATAATAACTGATAAGGTCCTCCCAATGATAAACAGCGTAAAAGTTTAATGTGTTTGTCCTACTCTAGGTTTTCTGCCTCTCTGCCTGTGTTTGTAATTCTCTACTTACTAAATTAAGTTATGGCTAAACAATAGATTTTCATATCAAAACTCAAGGTCTAGCAACTTCCAAAAGAATTGTAATAAATAAGTACTTGTCTTGGCCTCCCTTCCCATTAGAGCCTTTTCCATGCCTTTGTACCATTTAACATGATACAACTATTATAATCCATGCAAATACCACTGGCCAGACTGAAAGAGCTGACTGCTGGAAGCCACGTGCTTTCAAAGCAGTCAACTTCTGTCTCAGGCACACTGGCAGTATTAATATTTTGCATTAATAACCATTTGCAAGTTGATCTGGATGTCATTTCAGCCCCAGGAATGTGTGTGGCATGCCTGCAAGCAGCAATCAGCCATGTAATCTGCAAAAAGCAGCTCTTCCTGTTCATCCATCACTAACTGATGGAGGCTAAAAGAAAAAGGTCTCAGGTTTGTTGGACTTTTGAGTAATTCCACAAATATTTCAAGCAGCTTCCTCCTACATAAATTACAGTTTTCTTGCCCAATGTAATATCCCATAGCTGCTTGGCTTAGCAGGACTTCTCACATAAAGAACTCCAAGTAAAAACAAAAGTTCCACAAGATCAACTGAAAATAAAGACAGCCAATAAGATTCAGTCACTGCCTTTCACAGTGTATTCTTAAATTCATCAATACAGAGCTAATGGAAATGGCTCATTAATATGAGGACAAAGCTCTTCAATCTGTTATATAGCACTATCAGTAACAAAACTGGTTCTTAAAATCCTGTGAAACCCACGAGGACAGGGCTGGCACTAGGTAAAATAATCACTGGTGTCCTGGTGAGCAGCATGGAAACATTCCAGTGGGATTCTCCTTAAGGAGAGAGAACAGACATCTGCAGGCACTCACCATCTGGGCAGTTTCACATCCTATCTGCCTGTTCCTACTGCCACCACAAGCATGAGCCATTCAAAGTTTATTCTGGGGAGGTTCAGAAATATATACATGCAGCAAGCTCCTACGTTCTGTCACAGGGGGAGCGCTTGTGTTTTCTTAGGGTTTAATGGCTTAATTTTGATTGGATGTGGTAACCATCAGTTCTTCCTTTTTTGTAGGTTCACAGTCTAGCTGTGCTAGCACAGTTTCATTAGTCAGAGGTGACTACTGCAGTTATGGTTCCCCGACTGTTCAGTACCAACTGCCTCTATGTGCTGCCAGGTCTGGATCACACATGGGCATCTGGTGACATGTGGAGCTAGCCAGGGCACACATACACAACCAACACAGGTAAGAGAACACACAAAACCTGATCTAGCACCAAGTTACAGGGATGTGCACAGATGACATCCAAACTATAGTATTTTGAACAAGATTAAAACACCAGAGATCATGGCTGTTTTGGGAATACCCTAAAACCAGCTTCCTTGGCTTCCCCTAAGGCAGAGGGAATAGAGGCAGAGTCTGGTAGAGTTGGTGGGATAGAGGTTACAGAAACAGGAAAGGATTTTTAAGGAGTAACCCACCTTCACTGCCTGGTTCTTTGTGTTGATAGGAGGGTTCTTCAGAGCTGCCTGTAGTGCAGCCGTCATGTTCCCTGTGCTAGATAGTTAAGGATCAAACATTGAATATTTGGAAGGCAACAAAACCAGCCCCAGAACAGCGATAATTGCAGCTGGCTCGTGCATGGCTGAAAATACTTAGGTTCAGTGGATGCAGCGATTCTCTCAACAGATAGCACGAATTAGTGTAATTGTGACATCGTTCTCCATCACTTCTGCTATCGATAACCCTCGAGACCAGGCCTCAGCTCGGCACATCCACGCACACACTCCCCAAAGCAGTCCCTGGGAAGCGCTCCTCCACGACCCGGGAGGCCGGGGAAGCCGGAGGTTCAAGTGGACACACGGAGCTCTCTCTCCGCCGCAGGAAACCCCCTTCCTCCATTCTCCCTATCGCCCCATCAGACACCTCCCCGATGCCGCAGCCCCGAGACACCGCCGTCTCCGCCGTGAAGGAGGAAGCGGAGCAGCCTTCCTCCTACCAACCCCAGGTGCCCGTCTCCCTCCCTCGGCGGGAGCACCGGTCACGGAAGTCCTGTAAAAGGCAGAACCGGCTGCCGCAGCGCCCGCTCCCGCCCCGCCCCCCGGCGCCGCGCCCGCTCCTGACGGGAACGCTCCTCGCAGCCTGGCGGAAGGATATTGTCGCAAGCATGAGTCCACCTCGCCCTCGTCGGGTCCCGCTTGCCCGTCGCCTCCCTCCTCCTCATCCACGAACTTGTTCTCGTCGTACTCATCCACATCCACCCGGCGAAACCGCGCCGACGACACCGTGTGCTTCGCCATGGCAGACTAGCCAGTCGCCGCCACGCGCACGCGCAAGCCGCGCACGTACCCGCGCTCACGCGAGAGCAGGGGGCGAGCCCCGCGCAGGCGCGCTGGGGAGAAGCTGTTGCCTGGAAAGGTCCCTGTTTCACGTGGGGACCGACATGTTCTTGGCTTCAGTTGCCCCATCTGTGGTATAATAACGAATGTATTGAATCACAAAGTGAAAACAGCGCTCAAAACGGTAGGAACGTTTTTTGGTGCTTCAAGTTACAGTCGGGCTGTGTAGACCTGTGCTATCTACATTATCCTCTTAGATATTTCTTACTATTAGAAGGTTACACAGCTTTGTGAGGTTGCTCTAGGGCAGCAGCCCTAGGGACAAAGTACACACACAAACTCACGCATATCGTTGTGTCCGTAATTCCCCCTGTTATAAAGGAAACAGGTGGTGGGAAAACTCTGTTCATGTATCAGCCTTACCTGCAGGACCACCTTGATGGAGGAGGAACTCTGGATATGTCGTGTGTACCACCCAAGCCGCCGCAGCTGGGAAGCCACAGTCTGCTGTAGCCATAGCGGTTGCCTGTGGGCTGCTTACATTTTTCTGATAGAAACTGGCTGAAGGGCAACAAATAAATTAATAGCAGGAGGTAATCAGAAGATACTGAGGTTTTGGTTTTACTGCTATGGGTTTATGTTTGAAAGATACAGGACTAAAATAAAAGCATATTATCTTCATAATCAATTATTTCAGACTCACAGTTATTCTGTGGGCTAACTTTTGTAGAAGGTGACTTTATTGATGAAGGTCTTGCCATCTATGATCTCAGTTTTGCAGCCTAAAAGTGGTTGAATTTGTGTTGTCTTCAGCGTAGGTGTCTGCTGCTTGGAAACATTTCAAAATCAGGAGTTTAATTGAATTACTCCTTTGGCATTTTTAAATGCCTTATAATATTTTTAGGTCTGGGGTATAGATGTTCCCTCTGAAAGGGCAGAAACATTTCTGGGAAAAGCACTGAGTGGCTTGGAGACATGGGAGGTAGCAGACTGCCTTTCAGCATTTGAAAAGGCTGTTGAGAGGCTGGCCTACCAGGAGAATAGGCTTTTAATTTCTGCAGCACAGGAGGCTTTCCCTGAATTGCTTGTGGAAAGGCTTTGCTAAAGTGTGGTTTCATTCCTGTCAAATTGTCAATTTGGTGTGGATTTTGTCTGTCTGTCTTGATGGTTGAGTTTGTTACAAATGTGGCTCAAATAAATTGACGAGAACCAGATCAATGAATTGAATTGGTTTATTGAGCAAGCGACAGCAAGCAAAACAGCACTAAGCAGCCGGGGAGTCTCTGCTCTGCCAACGGCACGCAACCCACTTCCCCAAAGTCACTGGTTTTATACTCTTCTTCATCTGATATACGTGTCACTTCTTGGCGTACTCTGCGTCTATGTGGCCTGTTGATAAGGGGTCTCATTCTGCCTCCCAGTGGGTGTGGGGAGGAAGGCTTATCTCCTTCCCCATACATTGCTTACTTTAATGGATGCCTGCGGTCTGTAAGCAAAATGTCAAAGTGCCATAATTTTCCAGTAACTCTTAAGCAAGCAAGATTTGATTAACAAACAGTAATTTACTCATCACAAGTTGAATGATGAAGTGTTGACCCTGGGATGCTATACCCAGAATTGCAGAGGAGGTAATGCCATGCCCCCCCCAGGCAGTCTCTGCAGAGTCACCCAAGGCCACAGGCTGGAGAGGCTCCACAAAGCTTCGCGGTTCCATATGGCGGTGAGGAAACCGTCCTCAGTGTGATAAAGCTGAGAGAAATAGATGCTGAGTGTGACTTCTTGATACTTCAGCAAGAAGTTACAGATTTTGCTTACACAGCAGTGGATAGCCTCATTACAAGGAGAGTAATTTAAATAGAGAATGATGCATCCGGTGTTTTCATAGGCATCTGTAACTGCATCCAGATAACCACCCACCTCAAACAGCATAGAGTCTGGATGGTTGTCTTGGTCAGTACAGTTTGTAGCATGGCCTTTTTGGACTACTCTGCCTGAGAAACTCCTCAGTTCATAGAAGAGAAGGTGTTTGTTTTGGATAGTTGCTGTTGATCTGTATGGGAAGCCAAAGACCCTGTGAAATTCTGCATAAGGGACTCTTGCTTCTTCCCCAGTCTGTATGTGGTAGGGACACCTCCCACAGGTGTGGTTCTGTCTCTGCCAGCAGTAGGGCTTTACCACAGTCCCCTGATTTGTCAGGTATTCTTGAAAATTGTTTTCTCTCCTGGATTCATGATCTGTTGAAAAATCTGTGTTTATGTGCTGTACAGCTGACAGTCCTGAATGGAAAAGGAAAGTAATATATTAATTCAGTTGGCTTTGCACTTAAACAGCAAAATGTACTTTTAGAAAAAAGTACTGCAGTTTGTGGCAGTGTACAGAAACTTGGTCGATGACACAGAGAACAATGCTCTCTTGAAGTGACAAACTACTTCTGCCCTCTTACACCAGCAGGCAAAACTGCATAACAAAAAGAGTCATGCTTTTCAGGAATCTATTAGCAGATGAGCCTTATGCAATCTGGCAAAACAAACAAGTAAACACCAACAAAAAAAGAAAAAGGTATAATTACCATCTCAGCAGCTCCAGCTTGGGGTAGTAGTAAATATTTATCTGTTTTCCTTCACTGGCGTTTTAAGATTGGTTCAGAGTTTCCACTTCAGTGATACTGCAAGCTTTCTATGCAAAATTATGTGGTGGAGAAGAAAGTTACCTGGTTACCCAGTTTTGGCAGTTCAGCTGTATGAATGAGTGTTCCCAAATGCCGTAACTTTGCTCTAGGTGTAATGGTGGCAGCAGGCAGGCTCCTGTAGGTGTTTACAAGTGCCAACTGCTAGGAGACGAGAACACAAACAGGATCTTCTTTTGTATGGCCAGCCACCTGTAGTAGTTAAGCCTCTGTTCTTTGCCTGTCAATATTTGTTTCCTGTAAGAAGTGATTAAGTTTTGTTTCTTTAGCACTGTTTTAGCATAAGATTTTTATATCTGAAAGGTGGATGTTTTTCTAACAGAGATGTTACTGAATTTGTTTCCAGGTGATTGTTATTTCTGTGTGTATTTGTCTGTTGTGCCAGCTGGGCAGAAAGCACCTGTTGTGCTTATGCTCTTGTACGAAGGCAGAAAGGTTGTCGCTTCTTTAAGAAATGTGTGTCCCTCACTGAAGCTGTAATTCAAGCAAGCAGTGGGCTATTTAAGGAGCTAAATCATGCCTGCTTTGCTTGGGCAGGGCTCCAGATGAGTGGAAACAGAAGTTTTGTGTAGATGGACAACTTTTGATAATTACTTTTCTTCACTGCAGCTCTAATTGAGCCACTCATCATCCCTGGATCCGGTTTAATTCTGTTACGATTTTCTGACTATGTACAACTTTTCCATCAGCTTGCTTCTGAATTCCATGTTATTTTGCCCTCTGTCAATATTTCATTTTCTTCTTAAATTACTAATTTGATTCGTTTGCTTTGTTTTCTCCCACTGACTCTATGCCAGCTTCCATGTATTTTCCTGTGCTGGAGCTCTTTCCTGATCCCGGCCATTGTGCTGTTTTCATTCAGATTACTTCTAAAGATTGGCTTCCTGACATCAAGAATGCTCCATTTGTCATTTTTGACGTTTCTGTACATTTTTGATGTTCAGTTGTACTCTGCACTGTGCATTGCAACAAAATTGTGGCAGCAGTTTTTCTTAGAAAATGGAAAATACATTTGCTACCTGTCATAAAAAAGAGCAGGTCTGAAGAAGGGAGTGCATTTCCTTGTAGAGAGGTGTTAAGAGACAATTATCACCACCTCACCAGTTCTCCTGTAGGCTGCCAATGTTATTAAATACAATTTTAAGAGTTCCAAACCGGGGCAAGGTTCCAATTAGTGTTGGTGTTTTCGCACAGCTGGAATGGCCGCATGATGGCAGTGTTCTGCACCAGAGATGTATCCCATTTTACGCGTGTTCATAGAGGCAATGGCTTGAACTGTTTCAGTGTGTTTAAAAGTGTTAAAATTTTATATTTCCTTCTAAAACTTGCCTTTTTGTTAGTTTGTTTGTTGGTTTGGCCTGATCAAAACGTAGGAAAAATGTAGTCTTCTCAATTAATAGTGCCACAGCCCAGTTTGATGGATTAATTGGAACAGTGTTCCCACAACCTTAGGGCATTTCTGCATGTGTGGCGCTAGCCTTTGGGTCCTTTGCCAGCACTATCCTCATGAGCCTTCTGAGGTTTGCAGTGACAAGGGCTGCTGGCTCTGCCTCTGTGGGCTCCAGCCTTCCCACCAGTCTGAATCCTCTGCCAGCTCTGGACGAGTGGAGAGGGCTGGGGAGCAGAATCCCAGTGAATCTGTGAATATAAATGGCAGAGGCTTCTCATTTGCCGTGTACGTCAGTCCTGTAACTGATCATTTTGGGGGTGCAAAGAGGAAGGATGTTTACAAAGCCGGGCAAAATAGAAGCAAGCTGACCACTCATGATGTTCTCAGAATGGACCCGTTTCTGGTTTATGAGAAAGCAGAAAGTTGTTTTTTCTTCCTTTTCTTTGCACACTTTTTTCTAAAGTAGAAAACAAGCTGGAAATGTGTTATGCAAGATCTCCTAAGCTGATGTATGTATGCACATACGTATGGATGTGTGTGTATGCGTACATGTGTATGTATACATGTATACATGTGTATGTATACATGTATACATATACGTGTGTGTATGTGGATTGATCACTTAATAGGAACACTCATAATTCAAAATTTTGTTCCCATGCATGATTTTATTTAGTCATATTGAACAGCTTAGTAGCATTTTTCATCTTCAAAGTAGTTTACAAATCAAGACCAAGTGGTTAAAATATACATTGGTCTAAATGGGTCTCTTGCTGGTATTTCTGCTGCTTAGTGTCAATTAGATCCTATGCAGGGGAAATTGCTAAAGGTGCTTCTGACTTTCAAGGTGCCTAATGTGTCACAGTGATCCTGATATATCTTCAGACATAGTAAATGATGTGGACTTTAGTTAGAGTTGACAGTTTATGTAAGTTGGAAATTTGGAATTCAGATGCTTTGAGGTTGGGAAATAAAAAATGAAAGTACTCAAAATGGCTTTGTCCTTTTGGTAATTTTCATCTTGATTTAAGGTTTTGCAATCCCGACTGGGAGGGAGGCAGGATTTTACCTGATAGGGTACTTAGTTTGGTTCTGTAGCTTGTTGTGTCCAGTATCTCCTATTGGCACTAAATGGTTTAAAATGCTTTGAGATCTTCAGGATATGTGGTGTACTGAGGTGTTTTGTAGAGCTTATTCTGTCTCATTCTCTTTATCCTTCAAATGCAACACACAAGTCAAAATAGTTAATGCCCTGGTATAAAAGCCAGAAATGCAAACTGTTATTTTGCTTTGTCTGGCTGTCCCATGGTTTTGAGCAGAAAGCTTGCCCAAATCTTCTCTAATATTAATACTTTTCAACACAGAGCTCTTCATGAGCTCATAGACTGTTCCACATCCTCAGAAAGGCTTGATTTTAAATATATTTTATGAACCTAAGGATAGGTCTTTTAACACTTGAAGTTGTTAGGAAAAGTAACATCTCCATCTATCAATTTCATTGCATGAAGACTTCATCTTTATATTAGATCATGTCTAATGGATATGATTAGGAACTCAAAATGCATCTTAAAGGATTCATATCTTCCCCAATTATGTTTGGAATTACAATTATATCCCTGTCCCTCACAACTGTATTTGGAGGGGTCAGGGATATAATTATAACTTCCAGAAATTGTTTCACTTATTAGTAAACTGCAGCTATCTTTGGGGCAGAAGCCAGTAGCTGTTTAATAGTGCTCCACAACAAGGTATAAATGCTCGCAGGAGGAACTGGAGAGGAATTCTTTATCCAGTTAAAACCACAGGGGAAACTTATGAGGTCAGTATGTAATTACTCAGGTTGGAAGTCAGCCAGGATACAAGCCGTATGTTTTGCTCCTAGGGAAAAAAAGCATAATGATCAGGGCTGTGATTTTTTAATATTTTTTTTTTAATCCAAATATTAGCTAAAACCTGATATCATTTCAGGCTAAAAAGCACACAGAAATTCTGCGTCATCCATGTGGGCAGCTTGGGCCTGATACTGGTTTTGAACTTGGGATACTGTCATTTATGAAGATGTCTTTTGGAAGCAAAGTTGCATGCACTGATTAGGCAAAAGCTGGGTTTTTTCCTGACGTGATTATATGGAAGTATGATGATGTTTTTTTTTTTTTTATTCCCCAAGCTAAAATATTATCGACTTCCATAGTCCAGTACAAGTGTAGTTCTGTTTATGTGAGGGGATCTGGTGCTTCCCCTCAAAGCGCTGCTCTCAGTACAAGAATGGTTCCTTTTTGCTGCTTAAATACAAGTGTTGAAATTCTGTTGCATTTCTTAGTACAGCTTGGTTGAAAATAATCTCTGTTGGAAAGCATTTTACACATGATTTCATTCAATAAGAATTTTATCTGAGTTCAAAGTACAGAGGAGTCACATGGTCCTTCAAACAGCCAGAGAATTCACGTTCTTGTGCAGTCCTAAGCACAATAAGAAGCAAAGGATGTGAAGGAAGAAGCAGAATGCTACCCATAACTGCTAAAAACCATATTCATATGGACAATTTAAACTTGAGCTGTTGTGGCATAACTTTCCTCCACACTCAACAATCTCAAATTCACTTAACACGTGAGATTGGGATATCTAGTATTGCAGGAACGTTGGCTCACAGCTCCAGAGCGGAGCCCTTGTATTTTGCATTGTGCCACCGTGCTGTAAAGATCAGCAAGGATTTAGGTCCCAAGTTTGAAACATTTCCTGCTCAAGCTCATGTGAAAGTCAGACATACACAAAACTCTTCCATCAAACTTGCCTCACCTGTCTTGTTCAGCCTCAAAGTGATTTAAATTATCACCTCGCTTCCAGAGATTTTCCAGGGCTCCACTTCTTTTTTGTTTGTTTCCCTTTTTCTATCTTTACATCTAAAAAGAAGTGGTTTTCCCTTGTCTGTCTATTCAGAGTAGAATTTAAAAACATGAAGTTTGGCTACTTCTGAAATCTTCCATCCACTGATAAATTTATGATGCCTCTGATAACAAACAGCATAATGAAAAGCAGCTTGCCTTCCACTTCTGTTAGCATGTAGATCAGCTAATGGTGATCAGGAAAATTAAATCCTTGATGGGCATGCAGAGCATTCTGCTATACCCAAACTGTCAGTAATCTTGGAGGACTCG